TACTCCCGCATGGCTTTCGTTCACTAACACTACATCATCAGCGAACAACATACACCAAGGGATATGCCCTTGTATGTTCCTGGTAACCTCATCCATTACTAAGGCAAAGAGATACGGGCTTAAGGCTGACCAATGTTTACTAGTAAAATGGAAGAAGAAAAACAAGAGTACTCTTAAACTATTTCTTGTCATTACTTTGGCTGTAATTTGAGCATGATTCAAAGTACGTTTGTTTTTTTCATGATCTCCTGGCATGATACGGTTTGGTTATAGGTTGACAGCTTACTTGGTGCAAGAGGAGGTGCATTTGAGCATGAAGCAACAAGAAGGATGCGCAATGAATTTATGGCAGCTTGGGATGGTCTCAGGTCCAAAGAGAGCCAACGGATCCTTATTCTTGGTGCGACAAATCGTCCATTTGATCTGGATGATGCTGTGATACGGCGTTTACCTAGACGGTAACATCTAAGATTCCATGTTCTTGCTTCCGACACAAATTTAAGCAAATGGTCATCTAGCAAGATGTTCATTGGTTCCATGGTCCACAGGATATATGTTGACCTTCCAGATGCACAGAACCGATTGAAGATTCTAAAGATTTTACTTGCTAAAGAAAAGCTAGAATCTGGTTTTAAGTTCGATGAACTTGCAAATGCCACAGAAGGCTATTCAGGGAGCGACCTAAAGGTACCAAACTAGAACAATCGTGGTAGTTTCCCTGCTGTTCAGAAGAATGAAACTGTTATGTTCTCTTTTCATGTCTATGTGCAACCCATTCACTGTTTGTTTCTGCAGAACCTATGTGTAGCTGCAGCATATAGGCCAGTTCATGAACTACTAGAAGAAGAAAAAAAGGTGCTTAGCTCTTTCAACTGTTCACCTGTGTCGAACTTTCTACCATAAAGACTGCACTTCTACTCATAAGTTTCCTTACATGATTCCTATCTTTTCTAGGGACGTGTGAGTAACGAAAACAGTTATCTGAGACCCCTTAAATTGGATGATTTTATCCAAGCAAAAGCTAAGGTATTGATTGTAATCATGATTTCCCTTCTCTGCCTAATCTCACTTTTCTTAACATCCGGCTATTTCCTAACGCAGGTTAGCTCGTCTGTTTCTTATGACGCAACGAGTATGAATGAATTGAGAAAATGGAACGAACAATATGGGGAAGGTGGCAGCAGGACTAAATCACCATTTGGGTTCGGCAACTGACGTTATAGTAGAGATTTACCAATACTGTATCTCTGTAACATCTAGGCTGCCTGTTGTAGATTAGGGAATCAGTCTCATTTTTTTTTACCATGAGCCTATTTGAATAACCTTGTAATCACCCTGTACAAAAAAAAAAAAATCTAGTTAAACACCAGTTTTGCCTACTATACAAGGGTTGGTAATGTTGGTGTAGAATCAGAAGAAATCTGCTATACACTACAGAATGATGTATCTGAGCTACTTTGGGTAAGCATTAGGCTTAACAAGATGTAAACGGCTTAAGAATTTTCAGTTAATTAATACTAGTTCTCAGCATAGAATTCGACAGAACAACTTTAGTATTAAGGTAGTCGATGGCTGGAATTACCAGGATGTCTCCTGTTGACCAGAGACTGTTGTCGTCTCAAAAGAATGGAAGAAAATAATTTGTTACTAGTATTTTATTTTTGGCCCTTACATGTTGTAAAATGTGTTGGTTAGTTTTCCTTCACACCTGCGAACCCTGTGTAGCAATCAGCTGGCGTATAACTGAACTATCATCTGAGTCGTCCATGATAGAGGTTAGGGAACGCGATCTCAAAATTTAATTGTCAGAAGATTGTGTCGACGCAAAGAGAGCAGCTGGAACAAATGAACGTGTGCTCTAGAAATCGCGTCGTCCCTGGACACAGCACCACATGCGTCCGATTTCACAAATCCGTGGGCGCGCCATCCTTTAATCGGTGATGCACCGGGCAGCTGGAGAATCTGTCTCTCGGGACACAGTGCATTTGAAGAGTCTTGCTCCATGGGCAGCCGCGCAGGGCCCAGGTTTCTCTTTTATTCATCACGTTTTCGCTGGCAATCTTGCTGGGCAGTTGGGTGCCATCCGCCCATGCCCATGCCACGGTACCACCTGCTATGCTATAGTAGTATAGTTTCTAAAAAAAACTGCTATGCTATAGGGTCGATCTACACGATCTATGCAAGTATGCAACAGTCTTCCACGCTGTTTGCATAGCTGGAGCTCAATAATTCAGTTTATCTCATTACAACTTTGCAGGCGAGGGAGTAGTTGTATTTATTTGCTTAACTTCTCTTTCTTTATTACCCACCAAAGTGTAAAAGGCCGCTGTCCTATTTGTTAGCAAGTTATGTTTGCCTCCTAGTCTATTGTGTGCCTGTGCCTTGGACTCTGGATACAGCCATGCGCCAGGCTAGGCACTTGTGCTATTTAGTATGAGTTAATTAGGTTCCTAGATTATGTTCACACCTTGAATCATTGAGTTCTCCTGTCTATATATTGTAATCCCTTGTAATCTGTGATCTATCAATATACTTTTCAGAGTTTATCTCTCTTACACTATTCACTAATGAGCGGCACGAAACTGCCCATTTCTTGACGGATCCCTTGACTGTGCTCTCAGGTCTCAGCTTCGTCTTTTCCACACACTGGCTAGCCGGATCCCTTGACCGGTGTGAAGTCACGCATGCAAGTCGGAAATGTTCATACCGCTCCACAGTCAACACATGTCCGCAGATGAATATATTCAGATTTCAATTGGGTAAAATAAACCGAGGGGAGTCGATGTGAAGCTGTAAGATATTATTGTGCCGCTGTCATGACTCGTGAGAGAAGCTAAAAGGCCCAGACTAGTCAGAAATATGGTTTGTTTCGTTGCCAAGTGACGGTCATTCCATTTTATCGAGTGACAGCAACGGGCTGCAGTAACTATCCTTTTAAGACTTCTTTCCCTGCAACTGCAAGGATCAAAGATAAAGCAGATTTGTTCACACAAAAAAAAAAAGATTAAAGGAGATTCGCCGAAACCACTCGCGTCATGCTCGTAATCAAATCAAAGTCTGCGGCCAGATTCATTTTTTTTAACCATTTGGCTGCTTCCTCTGCCTGAATGGCTGGTTGAGTTATCATATTTTCTTACAGTGTTCAACGCATTTGTTTGGTTGGTGGCGACTGGCGTGATGCCGTGATGGGATGGGATGTGGGATGGCATTGTCACTCTGAAGAGATGGTTCTGACCAGGCCAAAAGCAAGCACCTTCAAATTTGTCACTCTCATAGAGCATTAAAAGAGTAAATCACGAGATGGATCTTGTGCGGTTGGTGGGCGGTGGCTTAAGATGCAAAAATTTGCAATCTTCGTCTCTCGTTTCTCTTATAATCCGTATTTTTAAATAGTTTTTTTTCATAACAAATTAATCGAGAACAATAGGCGAAGTTAAGATGATGTTTCGTCTGGTCGTTTAAATTAGCAGGAGTTGTGTGGTTGGTGGCTTAAGATGATGTTTCGGCTGGTCGTTTAAGTTAGCAGGAAACAAGCATTTACGAGTTACTATCGCGTTGCATTTTGTTTAGACTTTTCTCCACAAAGTGCAACAATCACATGGAATATATGTTGTTAGTGTTTTCCGTTTCTCCTATGCCCCTCGTGATCTTTAACTAGAATATTTAATGATGCCGCAGTCCTTGCTAAGACTGGCAAGTCTATCTAAGTTTCTATTGACGGTCATCAATCTACTGCTCCTGTCTCAAAACAATAGAATTTCCCAATCTTTATCTCGAAAGAAAAAGGGCAGATGCTTGATTTCTCAGTAATATATTTTGAGGGGCTTACTTCCAAAATAGAACTGGGGAAGATGTGAGTTTTACTGTCCATTTTTCCTGAAAACTTTGCTTTTTTTTTAGAAGCTGAAAACTTTGCTTTTAAAAACTATACTATACAAAAAGTACAAATTCCAGTCCCAACAAGCGGATATATCAAAAAGCACGGGACGACGGCCCACGATCTTCTCCCGCATGTTGGATCGATTCCGCATCAGTCCACCGCACGATTCTTCCCACCAGCCACATCTGTCTGACGTGGCACCCCAGCCGTAGGTGACTCTGACTCAGCTACGTACTCCTGTACTAGCTAGATCCCCAACTAACCCACCGTGCATCCTTGACTAAAATACCCATTTGAACCGGATAAACTGAGGAATTCCAACCTTCATATGCAATTGTATAAAATATTTTTCACCAATACTGGTAACAAACACGCTCCGATCCAAATTCATTTCAACGCTGCGTTTTGGAACACGAGGATCCTTGAACACGCTAGGTGTAGGTGGCAATACCCATCTTTTTATGCCAACCCTTATGTCATTGGCCTTATAAGTAACTCTGAAAATCTCGATCGATATATCTCTTTTTATATATTTATAAAAATAATTAATACCGGTGACATGTAACTACACGAGAACAATCAATCAATAAATATAAATGAAGCTAAATGATTTTTCACAATATAAACGTGTGGCTCTAGGCGCAGCCAGGGCAGGGCACCAACTACCTAAGCCATCACAACAAATGAACAAAACAGCAAACAAAAGCAAATGCCCAAGGGCAAAAAGGGAAACTCGAGGTCCAAATACGCAACTACTCGGCAGCGTCTGGTGCGTCCTGCCCGATGCACGCCCGTCACTATTTTACTGTCCCCATCGTCCGGCCATCATCGGCTCCATTTTTCGCTTCGCTGATCTAACTAGGTTTAAAAGGCTAATTAGTTATTTTTTAAAAAACTATAAGACAAGCGAAGAAAAGGCCATTTTCCGCCACTGTTTCGACCACCGAAGGGCCATTTCCGCCACCACCACCGGTTACCACCTGCCGCCTGCGCCCTGCCCTCCCTCTGCTTCTTTAGACATCCGGATCGCGCTGAGATTGAGCCGTAGCTGACTAGTCGCCGCGTCCCCTCTCCCCGCGCAGCAGCAGCAGAGCACCACCAGGCGTCCGGCGAGCGAGCAATGGAGGCGGGGGGCGTGGGCCTGGCGCTGCAGACGCGGGCGGCGGGCTTCGGCTCCGGCCGGCGCCGGGGCGGCCTACAGTCGCCCAGCGGCAGCCTGAGAGTCGCTGACCCGTCGGGAGCAGCGGTTGCTGTGCGGGCTCGCGGGTCTAAGCCCGTCGCACCGCTCCGTGCGAAGAAATCGTTCGGTGGTACAGCCCCTTCTTCGCCTCTGTTTTTTACATTACACATATTGTGGTCAGATTGGCGTGATTCGGCATTTTTTGTCTTCCTTGTCGTTTTTTACTCCGTTTGTTGCGAATTCGGTTCGCTCTAATCGAATCGATGCTATTGGGGCATGTTTGGATTCGTCATATTTGTTGACTTTCATGGATTTGACGTGTGATTTGGCTGTAGGATTTTATGAAGTAGTTTGGTTCCATGGGTTCCGAGTGATTTCCGGAGTTTTGTTTTCCTCTTATTAGAGGTGCGGGGAGGATCTATGCCTTTTGAGTGGTTTGATTTGTCAGAAATTGATAAATCAATCGGGTTTCGGATTATAGGAAAATGGAAAATAGGAAGATGGAGCCCCATGCTTGTATCCCTATGGTTGGCATTTTTTTTTATGATCTTATCCCTGTGCAGGTCATGAAAACTTGCATAACTCCGTTGACGAAGCTCTCCTATTGAAGGTATTGACCAAGATCTTGGATTCCTAAAAGATCAGATCAACAATTACTATGGAGAGTGCATGTGTTTTTGTACCGGTCTAATGTTATTGTACTACGATTTCAGAGAAAATCAGAAGAAGTCCTGTTCTACTTGAACGGGAGGTGTATTTACTTAGTAGGTTAGTCCTCATCCTCCTATATTGCGATTGCTATAAAGAATGTCCACTTTTAGATGAAACTGCCATATTTGAATTTATGATTGATGAGTGAGTGTTTGTGTGCAGGAATGATGGGTTCTGGAAAAAGTACCGTGGGGAAGATTATGTCTGAAGTCTTGGGTTATTCGTGCTTCGATAGGTCTGTGTCTTTTTGTGAAAGTAAATTAGCAATTTGTTGAAGGTTTCTATGGATGTTGTGATGCACAGGTACTGATGATGAGATTTGTTGCTTTGAATTATGTTTTACAGTGACAAATTAGTGGAGCAAGCTGTTGGAATTCCTTCAGTTGCCCAAATATTCAAGGTTCATAGCGAAGCCTTCTTTCGGGATAATGAGGTAACGGTTACCGATTCTTTACTGACATCCTCAAGTACTCTCTCTGATTTATAATGTTTGTTTTTTATTCCTTAATGCCCAGAGTTGGAAGCTTTGGCTTATGATGTTACCTTTCTTTGTGTTTCATGCCTTGCAGAGTAGTGTCTTGAGAGATTTGTCCTCCATGCGACGATTAGTTGTTGCCACCGGAGGTGGTGCTGTTATCCGACCAGTTAACTGGTATCTAGAGCTCACTTTATTTCTTTCTTTTAAATGGGTCGCTTTGTTTTCTTTAAATCAGTATTGTGACCTGTCGTTGCATTATCAGGAAATATATGAAGAAGGGACTATCTGTTTGGTTAGATGTGCCCTTGGATGCTCTTGCTAGGCGTATTGCTAAAGTGGGAACTGCCTCTCGTCCTCTTCTGGATCAACCATCTGGTGATCCATACACAATGGTAGCTACTTGTTCCTTCAATTTCTTTCATGCTGGTGAAACGGAACTGTTTCTTCCATTCTATTTGGACAAAGAACTGCTCATAGATCCACTTAAGCCTTGAAGCCCTATCCTGGATTCCAGGCCTTTACTTGTGGTATCTGTAGGCATGATCACACTTTTTATGCTAGTTCTAATACGGATCACTCACTGGGTTCCTTCTATGTTAGGCCTTTTCTAAGCTCAGCATGCTTGCAGAGCAAAGGGGTGATGTTTATGCAAATGCAGATGTCAGGGTTTCTCTGGAAGGTAAGATTCCCATCTGGATAATCTGGCAAACTATATGATCAGATGGTCCTTCATAAGACTTGATTATAGTTTTGTTCCAAGTTCCAGTGGATTAACACACCTGTGCCTGGCATTTGCAGAGATTGCATCTAAACAAGGTCACCATGATGTCTCTAAGCTGACACCCACTGATATCGCAATTGAGGTAAGCTTACCACGAATACCATTTCTCTTTCCAGTTTCCACATATCATCAGACAGCTTTTTAGAAGATAACACTCTTAACATCTTCGCAGTCACTTCATAAGATCGAGAGCTTTGTCAGCGAGCACACTCCAGATAATCCAGCTAGCGACTCGCAAGCTGAGTCGCAGATCCAAAGGATACAGACTTTGTAGAATGTTAATCCTTTTCCTTGTACCGTAGCGTACCACCTAGGGCATTGTTGAGTTATTTGTTCGTTGCATTGTCACGAGGGAGGAAAAAAACTGAAGCATTTCTTGTTGTAAGCTGTAAAGGAATGGAATAAGGGAGATAATCCGAAGTGTACCGTTGGCTGAAACATCACCTTCTTCGCTCCTGGGTCTGCTTTTGTTTGTTGAACGAATGCAGGAGATGAATCGAGTCATGAACTGGCATGACGGCGGCGGCAACGAACAGATGGCGCGTCAGCGTAATGAACAGACGGCGAATGGATGGATGATAAGATTGCTGAGGACTGATAGCCTACTGCTTGTGGCTTTTTAGCTGGGAGACACGAGTTGAGGGAAGTTGGATGCGATTACGGCCAAGGAGGCGGGGCCGTATCTGAATAGGCCGGTATCCGATTACGCCGTAATGAATCACGGATAGACTCGAAACAAACATGCGTAGATGAAAATCTATGGCGGACATCTCATCTCAGCAAACATGAACATCATCGACTTTATCCGTCGTGGTGGACATCTGATCTGATGGTAATGCTCCACCGGCGGGTGTCCCTTCCGCGTCCGTCCGTCTGTCCAGACGCTCCTAGCTGGACCTGCTCCATTCACCACGGCATACACGGTTTATAAAAAAAGAGCGATGTTTTCCTCATTCGCATCCGCTGCAGCGTTTCCCACCCCCGCACCACGGCTGCCCGGCTCCTGCTCTTGCTTCGTCATGCCGCCCCACTGCTCTTGCTCCTCTTCCACGCGCCCGCCCCACCGCTCCTAACGCTGCTCCTGCTCTTGTTCAACGCGCGTCCCTGACTGTTGCTGCTCCTGCTCCGCTCCTTGCCCCGCCCGACGACGCCAACAGGCGCCGCTAGCGTAAGGAGAAGCGTCGGACCCCAGTGCGGAAGCCCTCCGGCATCGCCTCCTGCTATGGCTGCGGCGCCCCGGCGCCCCGATGCAAACGGAGGAGGAGGCCACACCAGGATACGATGCATGTTGCAAGTGCTACAATTCAAATGTTTCAGTAGAGGTACGTTGCAAGTGGTTTATATGGATGTGATAAAAGTAGATCCGGATGTTACATATGTTGCAAATGTTTTAGAGGCATGTTGCAAGTATTTCAGAGGCATGTTGCAAGCGTTTATTCAAAATGTTTCATCTGTTTCAGACTATGTTGCAAGCGTTTTTTATCTGGATGTTGCATATGTTTCACATATATGTTGCAAGAGTATGTTCAAAATATTGCAGCTGTTTCAATCTTATGTTGCAATAAGTGTTTTTATGTTGTGAGTTGCAAGTATTTTATATGGATGTTGCATATGCTTCACACACATGTTGCAAGTGTATGTTCTAAATATTTTATTTGCTTCAGACGTATATTGTATTCAAGTGTTTCATGTTGCAAGTGTTTTGTGTTTCAGAGGTATTTTCATAGAGTCATGGGGACATGCCCCGGGCGCCGGGAGAAGGGGCGTGGCGAGCCGGGGGCCAGCGAATGGGCGGACAGGCGTGCTCGTCCTCATCACGGCTCCCGGGTCCCACCCACGCGGAGAGAGAGAGGAGGGGGTCAAGGGTAAGGAGTGGTGGACAGAGGCGGGGTACGCGTGCGAGGCGAGGACGAGACGGATGGGGATGGATGTGCCCGTGCACCAGCGATACAACGCAGCGCCAGGCGCGGGCTGGCGACCGAAGCCAGGGTCACGTGATGGCGTTTCTGCTGTGTCGTTCGATGAAAGTACGCCCAGGTTATCGTCTGACCAAATCATATCCCATGGGACGGCTGGACACCAGCGATTCCCCTCGTCTAAACACCGTCGACTTTATCCGTCGTGGCGCTGCTCCAACGAGCAGTGCCGGAAAAAGAAACAAATTCATTCGCGTTGCTTCACTGTGGACGGCTGGGAAGTCGCCTTCTGCTGGGCGGGTTCGGCCTATACCTCGTCACCTCGAACACATGTTTCGAATGGCTCGACGGACCCACGAGCGAATGAGGCTTCTCTGCACACCGTCTATATGCTATAGCCGCCTCGTTCTGATTTCACGGAGATTACAGAGTAGCATACATGACGTGCGCGGTGCGCCTGAATCCGCAGCTGTCAAGCGCGTACGATGACTTAGCGCAAACTTCTTGCAAATAACAATCATTTTATTGAATAAATTACATGTTTTTACACCAAAATTCTCTGTAGCTAAGCAAAGTGGAATATACATTTTTGCTCCTGAAGCTGCGTACACACTGATAGTATAAACGTGAAACCCAACAGTAGCATCGACAAAAGAACAAAAGAATGATCATTTAGAAATGAAATGTACAGTCTTTGTCTTGGTGGTAAGTTTGTCCACTCTGCTGCAAGTCCTCACTTACTGCCCAAGCTTCCTCCATATGCCTTTCTTTGCTGTCAAGCACTTCAATTTGCCAAACACAAAACCGGACTTCTGAGGGTTGCCATCCACAAGCGAGTTCTCATATATCTCTTTGCATTCTTGTACGACCTAAGAAACGACTAGGGAGTAAGAATCTACGACCAAATTACTAGTAAGCATACGAAAAAACCCTAATCTGTCAATAAGCACAAAGTGGCCTTCCGTTGGACCACAGTTGACCGTTCATAGGATCATGAAAACAGAGCAGCACCAATGACGCATACGATGTGAGAGGCGTTGTGACGTTACCTCCTTAGCTTCCTTTCTTGGAATGCCTTCCCGCATTGCCACAAGCTTCTCGACAACCTCAGGCTAAAAAACGCAGATGTCAAGTTGTAGGGCATAATGAGAAATTAACACGCTGTTTCATATTTTTAAATAATCAAGCATTAGCAAAGCTGAATATATTTGTTAGGCAGACAAATTACCGGGCAATCAGGTTGATGTTCCAGTATATTTGTGTAAATGAGAGTAAAGCTATCCAAACTCTCAGCTGAAGCTAGCTCCCTCATATCTGCCAGAATCCGCACTCTGCTTTCAACTTTCTGGATCAGTGTAAAGACAACTTTTCAGTTCCAAGTTAGTAATACAGAAACATCATATGCCTTTCTAGGACAACGGGTGTTCAATGACAAAAAAACCCCACAGTATCCACATTTTAATAAAATGCATGCACAAAACTGCAGACGATTTTCAGCATTCGAACTGTCACATGAGACTCTGGCTAGTTTTCAGCTTTGAATGAAGAAAAATCTGTAGTAGTAACTGAACAAAATCCTAGCAGAAATTATACTTACTGTCACGTTGATGTGTTCCCTGAAGAAATCCATAAGCACATCTTCATCTAACCTCATCCTCTCTATTGTGTCTTCTTTTATGTAGTTTTTCTACAGACGCAAAGGAAACACATAGTAATTATTGAAAGGACATGTCAGACAGCAGTTGTGAGATTAGCTTTTGAAAGTTCTTCTCAGACATAATATTACATGTCATGTGAATTTCTTTTTTGGAGGTGAATGTTGTCAAATTGGTATGAACCCAGTGTACAGCAGTGACTATTCTGTACAGAATCATTTCTAGGAAACACTGCAAGTCTTCCTTTTAGAGTGTTAATATATATTATATGATCCTTAAAGTCCCTCCAGATATGGACATTTAGGGTACAGTATGACACAATTTAATTAACTTGAACACTACATCAGATATGGAGATTTAGGGTACAGTATGATACGATTTAACTAACTTGAACACTAAGGGTAGTTCTGCAAACCTGAGAAAGGAGATGATCAACATAGACCACAATTGTTTCCTCTATGCAAGCCTCCACAAATCTTCGAAATGATCTTTCTTCAATATACCTACACACACACACACACACAAAGGTATTAAACTAAAGCATATAAAGACAACTATTATAAGCAAAACTCTAGACTGTTAACATTTAACTTCGAGAAACTAAATTGACCGGAGCAGAAATTTGAAGTGTACATTCAAACAACACTCCGTAGTTTATGAGAAACACTACTGATATGTTGAAAACATTAAATAGTGCAGACAAAATTAATTGCACTGGATCTACCTGCAACTTTTAACATTCACAAATCCATTCAAGTATTTTAAATTTATTAACATGCACATGAGTTTCCATATTTGGCAAACACATTGTTTATGTTTGATATTTTGGGATCTTTCAGTAAACTTCAGGCGTGGCTTGATGGCATAGAATATGGTGTGGTGCAGTTTTCTCAAAACTATGCCACAAATCGTTTCATAATGAACAAAATATGTATAGGCAACAGGATTTTCCAGGGAATGTACATTCCTACATAGTTCCATACCACATGTCAGTTTTAATAGGAAAATAAAGCTTACATTTTAACATCACCAAAGTAATCAGCAAATGTCGCGACAAGATATTCTGTGACCATTCCCTCCAGCCAGTCTGGGCAGAAAGAATCGTGTGAGAAAACAAATTGCAACCAGACATTCCATAGACAAGAGAAGACACTGCATGAAGTACGTCACAAAAATTAGGCAAAGCACACTAGAACAGTTCATGACTGTTGGCACCTTTGTGCCAAGCAGTACATCAACTTAGCTTGCTTACTGGGAGGGTATTAACAGAATCATGCTGGACTCACTACTGAATCACATGTCAGATATGCCCACTTGGGATTCAGCACATAGTTATACAGCCAAAATGGCAAAAGTAAATTCTCAAAGAATTTGAGGGTGTGTTCAAAAGAATGGGATCGCTCTATGATTTTAGGGTTTAGTTTAAGCTAAACCCTAAGCATCCAGGTCCTAATGCTTCTTATCCAAAAAGGCCTTGAATGTTAACTACTACCAAACAAGTGTAACCAACTGTTAGCACCAAATATGACAAGTAGCTGTTGAAAATAGTAGGCAATATTTACAGAAAATCTATCAATCTCTTACAGAATGAAAGGACCTGCAGGCGTTAAAATTCAAAAACTGACCTGGATGCACTTGTCAGATATATGAAGTGTTTGGTTTGAGTGGGAGGCTGATGGTTCATTTTATACTAGCTTCAAACC